CATGGGGGTTCCCCTGCAGGCGATGCTCGGAAGAAGCGCGATGCTGCGGCAATGATCCGAAGCCATAGGGGTGGAGAGGCCCCCGGCACACTGAGGTTCCAGGTAACCCAGCATATCATGGGCTAGCAGCCACCCCCCTGCCACATCCCGCCGGATCACAGCCCCCACAGCCCTCAGCTCCATCCCCACCGCGCCAGCAGACAGAGACACCATTGATGGTCGGAGTCGCCTTACCTGCTCCTCGCTGCCGCCAAAGGGGCTTCAACAATGGGCGGCTTGTGTGCCCTGGCTGGGGCAGAGCCAGCAGCCCCACGCCTGAAATATAAGCAGCCAAGGCAGCACTTACCGCCCCTGCCCTGCTCCCCGGGGGCAACACGCAGTCACTGCCCAGACCACAGGGGAGTGGGAACACCCCAAACCCTGTGCCGATTCTGGGTGCACGTGAGCAGGACGCAGCCCCACAGTGCCCGGGGCAGTTTCTGCTGTCACCTCCTGCTCACGCTGGGGTGCTGGGTACACGGTGGGGATATGGGGGTGCCTGCACTGAGGTGTCTTCCCCCGTCAGTGCCTGTGTCCTTCCCACAGCACAGGTCCACCAAACCAGTGATGCTCCTGTGACCCTTGGGTCTGAGCTTCATCCAAGGTCACCACATCATGAGGGTCAAACCTGTTCTCATGCAGTCACCCCACCTTGTCCCCATGCTGGGGGACCTGCTGCGGGTGAAACTCCCCACCCCCTCCCAGCTGTGGGAGAAAAGCAGAGGGGCTTCACTGGGGTGGGGGATACTGCAGCAGGAGGGATGGGGATGCTCCAGGACCCCTGCAGGGATGCTGGCCTCGCTCCACTGCTGTCAGTAAACACCGGCAGGCAGGTTTCCTAGCCACAAGAATGCAAGCTGAAGCGTGCCGGTGCCGGCACCCCGAAAGAGGGTGATTTGCCCCTTCCTCAGCTGTGAGTCAGGTGACAGCCACTGCCCCAGGCAGATGCAGTCTGTAGTTTGGGCAGTTTGGGATGCCAGAGCCAGGACGCGGCGTGTGGGGCTCTGATTGCAGGGTAGGGGGCTGCCCGCCCTTTCTCATCCCATCCCTGCGCAAGTAGCCCCTACCCCAGGGGTATCCCCACTGCCCCATGCACCTGCCTGTGGTATTCCCCTCTTCCCCTGCTCCACAGCAGTACCCACCGGTATTGCCCCCTGCCCCACAGCCCTGTCTGGGGTATCCCATTGCCCCACAGCCCTACCTGCAGTATGCCCCCCTACCACACACTCCTGCCTGGGGTATCCCTATTGCCCCCCAACCCTGCAGCCGTGCATGTCCATGCAGCAGTTGGGGACATGTGCTGGTGTACTGTGTGCGCACCGTGGGGTGCGCATGTGTGCACTCGTACCGCCGCCGTGAGCCTGTTCACCTGTCTGTGTGTCTGTGTGTTGAGGTGTCCCCGCCGGCAGAGGGGGTGTGTGTGTGGGGGGGGGGGGGGGGCGGGGGGTGTTGCACCTGCGCACAAATCGCACCCTGGGGCTGCTGCCCACACTCCTGCCTGCAGACCTGGCAGCCCTCGGCCACTTCAGATCACACTCAGTTTTGGGGGTGATGGAGCTGATATACCCACCATCACCTTCTGGCAGCACCAGCATCATGGGCACCCCAAGGTGCCCCCCAAGGGCCAGGACCCCCAGCACCACCCCAGTAACAAGGGCACAAGGCCCTTGGGTGCTGCTTGCATGGGCTCTACTTCAGCAGCACATATGGGTACCCCCACAGCCACCAGCCCTGGCTGGCTGGGGTGGGACTTCAGGTGCCCTTGGAAGGTGATCAGAGTACAAACAGGTGGCAGAAGCCCACCTGGCCAAACAAAGGATGGTTTTGGGTTGCCTTGGGCTGGCAGAGGCTAACCTGACTGGACATGGAGTCACAGGACGGTGTAAGTCAGATACTGGTGTAAGTCAGATACAGGTTTTTGGAAGGGGATGAATACAGGGTGCTTGGGTAACATGGGGTGACAACAGCTGACCCAGCCAGATATGGGATTTTAAGGCTCTGTGGGGCATCCAAAGCCGAGCCCCCTGGCTGTGGATTGCTGTGGGATATAGGCAAGCAGATGTGGGGCTCTCCCATCGGTGCCTGAGAAGAGAGGGCTGCCAGGATCCCACCATGCTCTTGAGTAGTTAATAAGTTGTAGGGGAGATTTTAGTGCAGGCAGCAACAAGCCCATGTCCAGCAACCACATTCCTTGGGGGCAGGGGGTGTTGGGAATACCACAACTGCCACCAACACGCAAGACTGGGGGGGAGGGGGCAGTTGAGGGGGGACACACATGCACCCCTGAGCCATGTTTGGAGCGTGACTATGGCAGCCTTGCCTGCACCTGCCCTGTGGGTTTTGATTCCCTTCCTGCTCGGGGTGACGCTGCCGGGGCAGTTACGTGCTTTATCAGCTTCCTTCAAGCCCATGAGATGTGAGCAGGATGAGCAAAGATATTTATCATCTGCCTGGGGATTCCCACCAGCACTCCCTGCCAAGGCAGGGTGGGAGCTGGAGGGGGGCTGGGCAGAGGGGACGCCCTCCAGCTCCCACCCTGCCTTGACAAGAAGCACCCATGGGTGCTCCTGTGCTGAAAGGCAAAGAGGTTGCACTTTGCACAGCCATGCTATTAAACGTGAGCACTGATAAGAAAGCCCCAGAAATACACCAAACCATGACCCACCAGTACCTCCTTGGGGAAGGGGGGAATGGCAAAGCTGAGGGATTTCTAGATCCCTAAGGAAGGGGTTTCAGAGGGTCGGAATGAGCAGTGCCATCGCCCTGAAACCAGGGGGACAGCTGTGGCTGGTGGCGTCTCTGCCCCCCCTCCCGCCTTTCTCCAGTATAACCTGGCGCCATCTCTGCAAACAAAGGGGAGGGTGTGGGACACGCAGGTGATGGTGACGATGACGGAGAAGCAGGAGAGGAGCGTCCAGCAGTGAAACCCCACCCGGGGCGGGCGCTGGAGCTGGCCCCGCCAGCCTGTATAAGTGCAGGTGCACCCAGGTGTAAGCTGATCTCCCACCGCAAGCAGCAACCGGAGAGCAGTGCGGTTTCGGTCCGTGGGTTCTCCTCCGCCATCGCCCGGCGTACGGCAGCAAAACCATCCACCATGTCGATGGCTTTGGAGATCAGCGGTGTGGCCTTGTCAGTGCTGGGTTGGTTGTGCAGCATCATCTGCTGTGCGCTGCCCATGTGGAGGGTGACGGCCTTCATCGGCAACAACATTGTGACGGCCCAGATCATCTGGGAAGGGCTGTGGATGAACTGCGTGGTGCAGAGCACGGGGCAGATGCAGTGCAAGGTGTACGACTCCATGCTCGCCCTGCCGCAGGACCTGCAAGCTGCCCGCGCCCTCCTGGTGGTGGCCATCGTCTTGGCGGTCCTCGGTTTATTGGTGGCTATTGTGGGCGCCCAGTGCACCCGCTGCGTAGAGGATGAGAGCACCAAAGCCAAGATCACCATCGCCTCCGGCGTCATATTCATCCTCTCCGGCATCATGACTCTCATCCCTGCCTCCTGGTCGGCCAACACCATCATTCGGGATTTCTACAACCCGTTGGTGCTTGACGCGCAGAAGCGGGAGCTGGGAGCCTCACTCTACGTGGGCTGGGCAGCCTCTGCCCTCTTGCTGCTGGGGGGGTCCCTGCTGTGCTGCTCCTGCCCCCCCAAAGACGACAGGTACACCACCGGCAAGGTGGCCTACTCCGCCCCGCGCTCTGCTGTCACCAGCTACGACAAGAGGAACTATGTCTGAGACCCCTCGGGACCCCCCTAAATTCCCCACCCCCCTCCCCGGGACCCTCATCACCCTCCGTGGGGACAGGAAACAGAGGCACCAGGAGGGGGGGGCACGAAGGAGGGGACGGGGACGGCCGCTGGGTCAGGGCCGGGCTGTGTAAATAGAGACGGTTTCGGTTAAACAAGAGGCAGTTTCGGGTCGGCGGGAAGAGTGGCGCCCGGTGTGCCCCTGCCCACACCTACGGGACATGATAGGGATGGGGATAGGGATGGGAACGGTGCTCTCACCCCCCCCCCCCCCCCCCCTCCTTGGTATCCCTCCCCCCTTACTGCTGCCGTCCGGGCACCGTCTGTCCCTGTTACGTGTTGTTCTGTACCGGTTACATTTGTCAATAAACGTGTCCTGTTTTGGTAGCCCGAGTATCCTTGGGGAGTGAGGGGGTAAGATCCCACCTGGTGCGGGAGGGGGACCGGGATCCAGTTCCCCAGCAGCCACTCCGCACCCTCTGCCACCGCAGCTCCACTGCAGCACCGGGTTTGGGGACGGGGCTGTCCTCCCGGCTCGGGGGTCTCTGCCCCCCTCCGCCCATTTGGGGCAGCTTTCCGGCAGCCATCGGGGCGGGAGGGGAACGGGCAGCGGCACTCCCTGCCTGCGCGGTCCAAAGTCTGGCAGCACAGACGGAACACGGGGTGCTTCCCCCTCCCCTCCAAGAGCCGCGGCGGGGCGAGGCCGCCTGTGTACAACCGCTCCCACCGCCCGGCCCGGCCACGGCCTCGCAACGCTCCAGCGGGCAGGGACAAAGGGGAAGGAGCGACGCAGGTGCACGGGCAGGACCCGAGCCCGAGCAGGCAGCGGGGCCGGGCAAGCAGCGGGGCCCGGTAAGCAGGCCCCGAGCGGCTGCCGCCGCCGCCGCCCGCCCTGCGCCCGCCCGGGGGCTCGGAGCGGCTCTCGGGAAAGCACTGCCCGCGGGCGCGGCGGGAAGATTTGCTGCCCTGCACGGCCTCGCCGGCGGGGGCGGCCGGGAAAAGGCAGGAGCGAGCAACGGGAGCCCGCGTCTCCCGCCCTCGGGGCCCCGCCGGGTTCCTGCCCGCGAGAACCCCTCGCCCGCTGCCCGGCGGCAACAGGGATCGGCGGTGCGGGGGCACGGCGTGTGGCCGCCCTCCCGCCACCAGGGGGCGCCCGGCGGCGGGGCGGGGCCGCCGGCACGCACAGCGTCACGGTCTGCGCGCCGGCCGCCATGCTGCTCCGCCGGCTGCCCCGAGCCCGCGCCCCGCCGCGGCGGCTGCGCCCCCGCCCGCCTCCCGCCGCGCGCTCCGTGGTGACGTAAGCTCCCGTCCGCGCGCGGGGCAGGGGGGGCTCTGGAGGCCGAACCCCGCTCCCGCAGCTTGGGGCCCTGGCTCCGGGCTGGCCCCCAGCGCGCTCTCCCCGCAGCTCCGTGCCGCTGTCCCACGGCGAGGAGCGGGGCCGCGCGGACCGGGCGCCCCTCGTGCTGCTCCACGGGCTCTTCGGCAGCCGCGCCAACCTGCACGCGGTGGCCAAGGCGCTGGTGCGCGGCGGCAGCGGCACGGTGAGGAGGGGACCGCGCTGGGCACTGCGCGGGGGTGGCGCGGGGACGGCGGTGACCGTGCCCCTGCCCAGGCAGGTGCTGACGCTGGACGCCCGGAACCACGGCAGCAGCCCCCACAGCGCGCTGATGACCTATGAAGTGATGAGCCTGGACGTGCAGCACCTCCTGACTCGCCTGGGCATCACCAAGTGCATCCTGCTGGGACACAGCATGGGGGGCAAGACGGCCATGACCCTGGCCTTGCAGCGGGTCGGCAGGAGCAGGGTGCTCGGGGCTGGGGGCTGTAGGAAGGGGGCTGGCACCGGGGGAGGGAGGGCTGCTTGTCTACAGAGGCAGGTTTTCTCCATCAGGGTCGGGGTGCTGTCCTGCTCAGAGCTGTAAGCCCAGCTGCAGGACCTTGGAGATTCCCCACGCTGAAACACAGGGAATCAGGGAAGGGCATGTGGAGCTCTCTGCCAAGGCAGGAGGGAGCTGAGAACCTCCCATGAGTCCGGCTGGGAGCAGAGCCCTGTGCCCCATCCCACTGGGGAGCTCCCAGCTGGCATCCGTCTGCCCTGTTTATGTCCCCAGCCAGACCTGGTGGAGCGCCTCATCTCTGTCGACATTGGTCCCACCTCAACCGCACCCGTCTCCGAGTTCTCTGCCTACATCTCTGCTATGAAGTCAGTGAAGATCCCGGATGGTCTGTCTCGCTCTGCAGCCCGCCAGCTGGCTGACCATCAGCTGCGTCCGGTGGTCCAGGTAGGAAATTCTGTTCCATGGATGGGGTTTCTACTCCCAGCCCATCTCTGGGTCCAGAGCACAAGGCTTTAGGCCCACAGGACTCCATCATAGAATAGTTAGGGTTGGAAAGGACCTTAAGATCATCTAGTTCCAACCCCCCTGCCATGGGCAGGGACACCTCACACTAAACCATGTCGCCCAAGGCTCTGTTAGAATCATGACACAATCATGGGCAGCTGGAAGACATCTTACCAGGGCTGTGGGGCCACAGGGGAATGACAGCATGGGAGAAGGCAGTGGAGGGCAGGATGGAGGGTGGCAGAACAGCTTGAGGGCTTTTTGCTTTTACTGGAGAGTGTGTGATCCCCTTCTGTGGCAGCACGCGCAGCTGAGGCAGTTCTTGCTCACCAACCTGGTAGAGGTGGAGGGCCACTACGTCTGGCGAGTGAATCTGGACGCTATTTCCCAGCACTTGGTAGATATCATGAACTTCCCCGTCTTCCACAAGTCGTATCCTGGCCCTGCACTCTTCTTGGGAGGATCTGACTCACCTTATATCAGGTGGGGCTGGAGAGAAGCAGTGCGAGGTCAGTGGTTCCACCCTGTGTGCTCTTCTGCAGCTGCCAAGGGTGGGAGAAAGCCCCCGAGATGGGGAAGGTTCTGGAGTGAGCTCTCTGCCTCCATCAGCCAGTGATAACAAAAATGCACTGGAGAGTGAGAGGGAACCTGAGGGCAGCTCCAGACTTTCCCAGCAGAGAGTGGGACACGGTCAGACCTGGGACCCCTCTGCCTACGGAGGGGAAGGGCAGATACCTGGGTGGGCCTCTCACCACATTTCCCATGGCATGTTCCCTTGTCCTGCAGGTCCGAAGACTACCCGGAAATCCAGCGCCTCTTCCCCAAAGCTGATATCCAGTACATTGCAGGGGCAGGCCACATAGTCCATCAGGATAAATTTGGGGAATTCATCACTGCTGTCCTCAATTTCCTGCCACCACCATAGTGCTGGGACCAGGTTCCTGCAAGCCCCATGTGGGTCCTGAGATGCTCCAGGCAGTGCTGCAGGGCTCTGGGCTCTGCGAGGAGGGATTCAGCCTGTGCTGGCTGCCCACCTGCAGCCCAGTCCTTTGCCTGAACTTGGAACAGAGAGGCACATCCATCCCACTGAGCTCTCCTGTCACCTTGCAGGGACAGGGGATGACACAGTCCAGGGACACTGCCCTGCCTGCGCAGCCTGTCCTGTCTGCACTGGCTTCACTGGGGTACCTCAAGCACTGGGCAGGGGCAGGAGAACCCTGTTGTACTGCTGCCAGACCACTGGTGATCTGGCTGTTGACTTTGCAGAACATGCAATAAAGCTGAATCCGTGCCAAGGCAGCAAATGGTTTGGGTCTGGCTGTGGAAGATGGGGAGCATTTGGTGGGCACAGGAAGTGGCTCTTGTGTCCCAGCAATATGGGGTGATGCTTCTGGGAGGTGACAACTGGGCTGGGCTTGTAACACCACAAGCTGTGGGAGCAGCACATGTAAGACATGGGTTTGAGGGTTTCTTGTCTTCCAGAGGGAATTGCATCCTTCCTCCTTGTCGGGGTAGCAGGAGGATGGAGGAGTGGGGGAAGCTTCCTCCTGAGCAGGAGGATGCTGTGAGCCTGCAAGGGGGAAGCATGAAAATTCCGCTGGAGCACATCTGCCTCCCTGAGCTCCCTCCGATTTCCCATCTCCTGCTTGCTCAGTGTTCCCAGGAAGGCAACACAAAAGCAGCCACTGCTGCCCAGAACAACCATCCACCATGGGCCTGTGGGCAGCAGCGCGGAGCCAACTGCTGTGAAACCCCTTTGTTAGGTGATGGGGCAGAGGCAGCTCTGGGGATGATGGATCGTCTTCTGTTGCAACTGGGGACAGGCTCTGGGGACAGTTAAGAGAAACACTGACCAGCTTTGTGTTCAATGCTCCAGAGTCAGGTGTCTGATGCTCCCTGCTTAGTTTGGGGTTTGGAGGCCACAAAAGGAAGGGACGATAGCACACCAAGGACTGTTTTATTCCAGGTCTGTTTGCAATTGCCTAGCAAAGGGGCACAAGTAGCTGGTTTAGAGATTTCCTCTTTCTGGGCTTTCCCTCTGGTCCTTCCTTTTCTGAAGAAGTGCCTCTCTGGAGCAGAGCCTTGAGCTCTCTGCTGTTACCTCCCAATTCAAACACTTGCTGTCCGTGTATTGTTTTTTCACCTGTGAAGAACATTAGACTGAGAAAGCTCCTGAGACACAGGCTACTGCAAGGAGTTCCTTCAGAACTCCTCTGCTGTGGCCAGCTGGGAGATGGGGATGGGGTCAGGCTGCTGCCTGGCCCCAGCTACTGGCACACAAATCCTTTGGGTATCCAGCCATGAGCTCTGGAGCCCAGGAGCAATGGGGAATTCCTCCCCCTCCTCCATGCTGGCTGGGTACTGGGTGTGGGGCACACACAAAAGACTGCCACAGATGTGTGAGGTGAAGAGACTCACCATAGTCAGGAGATCAGTGGCCTGGGAAGAGGTAAAACTTCCTGAGCATTGTAGTTCGCTCTTTCGATGGCAACTGCCGAGGGAATTTTCCAAAGGAATATTGGACCTGGGATGAGAATGACAGTGGGGAGAAATGAGAGAAGGTCTGTTCCAGGCATGGGAAGCATGAAGGGTGTCAGGAGGCATCCCCAGGGGCACCTCCAAGCACATGTGTGGTGGTTCAAGGGACACCAAGGGCTGCACCAGCACACCAGGCTCATGCGTGCCCACCATGTGGCAGACGATGATGCCTCCAGAGATCCAGCTGACCTTCCTGGCCAAACCAGACACATTGTGGACAGAGCCTGCTCCCCAGGGCTGAGAAATGGCCTGGCCTGAGCTCTGCTCCCAGCAGCATTCCTGGTGGCTGGCACAGCTGCATGTGCCGGCACTCCTGCAGTTACCTCACCTTTCGGAATAGCTCCTCCAAGTCGCTGTTATAGGCATGGTTTCGAAACTGCTCTATCAGGTGCTGGATGAAAATGCATCCTGTTACTGATCTCCAGGAGACAGTATCTGGGGAGACAGGAGATGCCCAAGTGTGACTTCATTGGTATCTCTCGCTGCAACTGTGATTATCGTTGGGAGCCGGAGCAGGAGGCAGGTGCCTTCTCCAAGATCATTATATTTGGCTCATCCAACCCACAACATGGAAAAGGACAGGGCACCCCAGGGAAGACAGAATGATGTGTTTTCTTCCAGCCTCTCTGCCCTCCCATGCTCCCAGCTACGCCAGCTGCTCAGCTGGCACAGCCTGGAGACATATGTTAACCAGCAGGAACAGACAGTTTGCCCTGGGCAGCCACTGTGGTAAGATCAATCAGCTGGGGAAGGAGCAGAGCTGATGGGGAGGGATGGAGCCAGGGCAAACGAAGGCAGGCAGGGCACAAAGCTCTGGCCCTGGTGGCTCTGAGAGGGATCTGTGGGTGTCCTGGAGCAGCTGCATACCCTAGCATTGGAGGACACTGCCCTCTCCAGAGGCTGTTGGAGCATGCTCAAGCAGGCACCAGATGGAGGCCCAAGGAGGAGGACATGCGGAGGAGACCCATGGCATCAGGAGTAGGAATCCCCACTGCCCTCGCCTCCCCCCAGGCAGGGCACCTACTTCCAGGAGCTGCTCACCAGGTGTGGAGGAATGTAAAGTGGCAAAATCACTCTCCAGGTGGACTTCAAAGATGGCATCATCCTCCATTGTCGCACGGGTGGTGTGAGCAGAGCTGGAGGCAGGCACGGAGAGGTCTGCAGCATCGCTCACAAGCACAGAGCCCACCTTGCCTGGGAAGGCAGGGCCAGATATCAGTGATGATGGGGTATCCCCACCTCGTCCCGTTCTCGGCGCTCACATGGCCACTTGCAGGCACCTTGTGGTGGGGACTCACCTCCACGGCAGGACTGGATGATGACCACTTTGGGTTTGCCCAGCAGCGCCTGGCAGTGCTGGTTGTTGAACTTCTCATAGATGGTATTGAGGGAGAGGATGTCTGTGGCCTCGTCTCTGCTCTTGGTCCCACAGATCCCAGCCCTGACCCCATGGGACATGAAGACCAGGAAGGTGCTGTCAGAGGTGTGGTGCTCTTTGCGATCTGCAAAATCAGTCATGGTCGTAGCCATCTCCTACAAACCAGCACAACGAAGGAACATCAGGAGAGCCAGCCACCAGCTGTGGGCAGGAGCCACTGCCACCAGGTCCCCAAGTCCCCCAGCACCAGCACACCCAAGGAGGGTCCCTGCGCCACTCCTGGGGCCAGTGGCAGCTGCTTTGTACAGCCCTTTACCTCAGAAGATAAGTTGAGGTGGATGTCCACCACGTAGCCCAGTCCTTCAAGCAGCTCTCTCATCCCCTGCACATCCACTTCAGCCCCAACCCGCCGGCTCAGGTGCTCGAAGTCAATGTTGCAGATGAGCAGGGCCCTGCGGGTTCGCAACTCCCGCGGCAGATAGAGGGGATAGATCTGTGGGAATGGAGGGAGGCAGCACTCAGCAGCGGGTGGCTGGGTGCAGGGGCTTTCCTTGCGAGGCAGCTAATAGCAGAGCAGGTCCAGTGCTGCAGCATCCACATCTCCCCGTCCCTGGGGCATCTCCCCACATCTCCTGCCCTGCTCCTGGGTCAGCAGAGACCCTGGCTCCTCTCGGTAAGCCCTTGCTTACTCCAGCAGGATGGTTGGGCCACCCTCCAGCACTCCTCTCATCTCCTCTGCCCACAGCACCTGGTCTCCCTCTGTGGCCCTGATGTGCTGGTACTCGCTTAGGGAACACTGCCGGATCCACTGCTGGCCCTGGATGGCAATGAGGGGGCCGGTGGAAGCCAGCTGCACACCTGAGGGCCCTGCAAGCAAAAAGCCCTCCAGTTACACCGGGAAGAGCCTGCAGCAAGAGGGGCCTGTTCCAGGCCACGTACAGGCAAGCAGAGCCAGGCACTGCCCCTTGGGGGTCCTTTTCAGCCCCACTGGGGATGGCCACCCCTGACAGCCCTGTCCTGACTGTATGCAAGGGGGACTCAGTGCCAAAGAGCAGTGACACTGGGGGTGCTCAGCTGCTCCTTGCCTGTAGGCCTTGTACACTCACCAGGGCCAGGCCTCCTCCAGTATCCTGCTGGAGGCAATGGGAGCCCCAGCAAGGTCAGAGACAGACCACAGCCCCTCAACACTCACCCACATCAGTGGCCAGGCCCAGCTGCTCTGCCAAGATGCCATCGCGCTTCTGGAGGCTGTCGATGAAGATCTGGCTTGCACGGGGCCCCTTCAGGCGCACGCAGTCGATGAGGCAGCGGGCCTTGTCTGTGCGCAGCGTGTACCTATCCTGCACCTCTTCCACTTCCTCTTGGTTCAGCACCCCTCGGGCCATCAGCTCATCGAGCAGTCCGGAGATGAGTGGCTTGCTCGCACGCTCCACGAAGTCCAGCCGCACATTCAGGAGCAGCTTGTCTGCTGGGTGGACCCATCAGCGCCCAGAGCCCCCCCCCCAAACCCTCGCAGTGCCCGCTGCCTGCTCTGGGTGCTTCATCTTCCCTATTGCCCCTCCCAGGTGCTGATCCCCTCCTCAACACCCCTCCTGCTGTCCCCCTTTCCCCATTGCCTCCCCCAGGGGCTGCCCCCTTCCTTATTGCCCCCTCCCAGCTGCTGATCCCTCCCCTGCCATCGCCCTGGGTGATTCCCCTCCTTCCCCTGCCATCTCCCATCTCCCTCTTTTCCCACACACCCACAGAAAGTTCCTCAGGGGATATTTGCAAGGAGCAGGGCCCAGCTACTCAGGGACGCCATGTGCTGGACTCCAGCCTATGTACCATGCTGTGTGCATTGGGCCTGCCCGGGTGAGCAGGTGATGAGCAGCACCCTGGCAGTGCTCAGGCAGGACCCCATCCCACCACCAGCAGCCGCAGCACCGGCGGTCGCACGCACCTGTCATCACCCCCAGACAGGAGAAGCTGTCCCGGCTTCTTCAAGTCCTGAAATGAGTCCGTTTCTGGGGAGGTGGCAGGGAAGGGAGAAAAGTGAAAGTGGAAGTCCAGAGCTTCACTTCCTGTTTCCTTGCAGCTGGGGCCTTGTCATCCCAGGGCTGTCATCATATCCTGCCAAGCCCCTGTGGT